GCGGGTCTCGAACCCGCGGGCTCAGGCAATCCACTCACCTCAGCCTCCCAAAAGCGCGGGATTACAGACTGAGCCACCGAGCCCGGCTAATCTCTATTTTTTCAAGCCGGGCATGGTAGTCCATGCCTGTAATTCCACCACTTTGGGAGGCCGAGGTGAGAGGATTCCCTGAGCCTGTGGTTTCGAGACCCTAGCCTGGGCAATATGCCGAGACTTCATCTCTACAATAAAGCAAAAAACTAGCTGGGCATGGTGGCGCGCGCCTGTAGTTCCAGCTACTTGGAAGTCTGAGGAAGAAGGATCACCTGAGCTCATCAGGTTGGGGCGGTGGCCGTGAGCGTGCCACTGCACTCCAGCCTGGGCGACAGAGCCACACTCCGACTCAAAAAAAAAAAAAATCTTGATTGTTTCATTATTTGTAGGGATTGAAAACCGTCTAAATTCCTCCATGTAGTTTAGTCATACTACGAAGTATTATGTAGCTGTCAAAAAGACAGGTTTTACCTTTTTTTTAATTGGCTTCAGGTAACGTCCACATGTTAAACGAAAACAAAACAGGGTGGGATTGGCAGTTGAGGGAAACCGCTAGGGGAGGGAGGGGCATACCTCACCAACAAGGGTACCTCCATGATCAATGTTTATATATCTAACCCTGAATTGTACCTCACATCTTTATAATGAAAAATTAAAAAAAAAAAAAAGAAAACAAAAAAATATATACATGAACTTGTATATATTTCAAGGCTAGAAAACTAAGCTGTTTTACCTCAAAGGAGCGGAATAATAAGTGATGGGGAAGAAAATATCACGTCCTTATTATATTTTGATATCCTTTACAATTTTTAAGACTTAGGTAATAAAAACAAACTCAAGTAAAACTGAGAGAAAAAAACGAAGCCTAGGAGGGTTCGCCAACTTCACACAGAAATCGTACCATTGCGGCCACCAGCGGGGGTGGTGGGAGAGGCTGGGCCTCCGTGATGTCCTCTTGGCCACGCCTACTTTGCCCGCCAGTTGCTTCTCACGTGTGCCCGGGAAGGCTTTGTCTTAACGCATGCGTGCTCACGTTAGTTTTCGTAGCCTCAGAGGGCCGCCCCGCGGTTTTGGATTTGACCCCGTCAGGCTACCGTCGCGGTGACCGGAACGGCACTGGAGGTTTGCTTCCGGGCGTCTCTTTTGCTTCCCCTTCCCTCTCCCACGCTTGTTCCCCTCCCCCTTCTCCCTCTTGCCTTCGGTTTCGCTCTTTTCTTTCGGGGTCGACCCCTGAATTGAGAGTCTGGGGTCTGGTTGGTGAAAAAGGGCCTTTACCGACGGAAGCAGGGAAGTGTGGGGAATACGGTTGAGTTATTTGGTGACCAAAGGCTTACTTGGGATGTTTTGTTTTGGGAGGAGGCCGGGCGAGGGTGGGAAGGATGTCTTCCCGAGAGCTGAGCAGAGGCGGAGCTGGGCTGGGTTTGCGGATGAGTGTGATGCACCCTTCGCCAGCTCAGGGGTAGGCCAGCGTGTGGGCAAGTTAAAAATGGAGGCGCTGAGGACTGGCACTGGGGTCGTAGGACATTCTGGAATTAGTTTTGCTTTAGCCGTTTGATAAAAAGAGAAAGCAGTTAACAAGAACGTGTGCTGCGTTCGGATTGTGGATGCTAGTTACATTTTATTGCCGTATAGCTTTCCTTCCCTTTACTTTGGGGAAATATTTCTGCTACAAGCTTTTGTGTGCTTGACCATCATAGACTTTTAAAAACTAAATGTCCACATGGAAGCAAAATAATGTAAGAGGAACAAGTAATGAAAGAGAAAACACCGAATTAGAGTCACAGATCACTCCCTCCCCAGGTGGGGATTTTGTTCAAATTACGCATAACGTATAGACAAGGATTTATCATGTTAGTCAATTAAGGGACACATTAGATCACAAAAGTATCTTTCTGTGGAGATTGGTTCTCTTCAGTTTCCCGAGACATTATTTTTAGTAATGCACAATTAATGTTGTCTGTGCACTCTCACACTTTGAAATCTTACTCAGGCCTGTTAATGTATAACAGAAAATGAGAACTTTATAAAATCTCAGAGTCTGGAGGATGAGGAGAGAGAACATAGACTATTTGAATAATAGGTAGCAGAGTAGGAATCATTTTTATTGGGTAACTGAAATTCTCTATTAATAGTGGATATAATGACTCCAATTTAACTTTAGTTTTCTGTTCCATGCAGAGGACAAAAGTATGTCCTCCCTTCCCAGGTGCATTGGTTTGGATGCAGCAACAGCTGCAATGGAGTCTGAAGAGATTGCAGAGCTGCAACAGGCAGTGGTTGATGAACTGGGTATCTCTATGGAGGAACTTCGGCATTTCATTGATGAAGAACTGGAGAAGATGGAATGTGTACAACTGCGCAAGAAGCAGCTAGCAGAGTTGGAGACATGGGTAATACAGAAAGAATCGGAGGTGGCTCATGTTGACCAGCTTTTTGATGATGCATCCAGGTAAGGACCACATGGGAAATAGAAGGAAATCTCTCCATGGGGAGACATCTTTAGAGTATAATTACTCATGACATTGTACCAAGCGCTTTAGGCTTTACAAAGCAAAGTTGTTTAGAACCTTACTCTTAAACAGAACTTTCATCAATCACGGGCTAACATATGATGAGCAGTAGGAGAGTCCAAGTCTTTAGTCCCTAACCCTTCTTCCTGCTGTATTCTAACTGACAACTAGGACACTATAAACAAATCTTCTGGGAGTTTAGACATTTACTAAAGATCCACAGTTACAAAAGACAGCAACTCTTTACAATCCTCACTCTCTAGATGATTTTACGAGGGAAATAAAGCAATTGTTTTCAAGGATTGTAAAGAGTTGCTGTCTTTTGTAACTGTGGATCTTTAGTCTGGAAGCCAGACCACTATTTAAATGTTTTCCCAGCCAGGCTCGGTGACTCAGCCTGTAATCCCATGCTTTGGGAGGCCAAGGTGAGTGGATTGCTTGAGCCCACGGGTTCGAGACTCACCTGGGCAATTTATTATAGAGAGACCTCATCTCTTTAATAAATCAAAAAAATTAGCCAGGCATGGTAGTGTGCACCTGTAGTTCCAGCTACTTGGAAGGCTGAGGCAGAAGAATGGCCGGAGCCCAGCAGGTCGAGGCTGCGGTAGCCGGGAGCGTGCCACTGCACTCCAGTCTGGGCGACAGAGTGAGACTTCAACCCAACAAAAAAAAAATGTTTTCCCATGGGAAAAACATTTCTAAATTCTAAGCAGAGACATTTTGGAGTATGACCATTATAAGTTGAGGGTAATCTATAGGACGTATATATAAATTCTGATGGCTTCTATACCTCTGCTTCATCTGTTGGCTTTGACCTTTTCTACATGTGTTCCAATATTAGGGCAGTGACTAATTGTGAGTCTTTGGTGAAGGACTTTTACTCCAAGCTGGGACTACAGTACCGGGACAGTAGCTCTGAGGATGAAGCTTCCCGGCCTACAGAAATAATTGAGATTCCTGATGAAGATGATGATGTCCTCAGTATTGATTCAGGTAAGGGATGAGGCTTTGGATAGGACAGTCTTGGTGGTTGAAATTGAAACACTAGAAGAAGAGCAGATAGAAAAAAAAACAGAAGAGAAGAGGAACCGTTGTTACTTACTCCATATTCCAAATTGTCTCACTAGTCTGTCATAGAAAAAAAGACTACATTGTAAGTATCATAGATATCTCCTATGGAGTACACCCTGATTTCATTACAAACCTTTTCCCATTCTATGTAACTTCTATTCTTGGGTATTCCACAAAGGAGTGGAATTGCTAAGTCTTGTGGTAAGTAAGTGTATGTATTGTTGCTAGGCTATAAAAATACAGGTTTTTCTCTGTTGATCCTGTAGTCTGCAACCTCATTAAGCTCATGTAGTTTTTTGCTGGTTCTTTAGTATTTTCTAAAACTAAATCATGGAAATAAAGCAGTCTTCTTTTTTTTCTACTCTGGATGTCTTTTGTTTCTTTTTCTTCCTTGATTGTACTCACTAGAACCTAGTGCAGTGTTGAATAAGGGATTTTTTTTTTTTTAATTTTTATTCGGAGTCTCACTATTGCCCAGGCTGGAGCATAGTGGCACGCTTAGGGCCACTACAGCCTCACCCTGCTGGGTTCAGGTGATCCTTCTGCCTCAGCCTTCCAAGTAGCTAGAACCACAGACATGTGCCACCACGCCCAGCTAATTTTTTTGATTTATTGTAGACACAAGGTCTTTCCAAGTGGCCCAGGCTGGTCTCAAACTTGTGGGCTCAGGCAGTCCTCTCACCTCTACCTGCCAAAGTGCTGGGATTACAGGTGTGAGCCACTGCACCTGGCTTCCTTTTCTTGATCTTAAACTGAAATCATTTGGTCTTTAATTGTTGATTATGATGTTAGCTGTAGGGGGGTTTTTTGTTGTTTATTTTTTGCTGTTTTTCGTAGGGTTTTTTTTTTTTTTTTTTTGAGTTGGAGCCTCACTCTGTTACCCACTGTTGGCATGCACATGGCCACCGTAAGCTTGACCTGCTGGGCTCAGGCAATCCTTCCAATTCAGCCTACCAAGTAGCTGGAGCTACCATGCCCAACTAATTTTTTTTTTTTTTTTTTTTTTGAGTTAGAGTCTCACTCTGTCGCCCAGACTGGAGTGCAGTGGCCGTTCCCAGCCACTGCAGCCTCGACCTGCTGGGCTCTGGCGATCCTTCCGCTTCAGCCTTCCAAGTAGCTGGAATTACAGGCATGCGCTACCACACCTGGCTGATTTTTTGATTTATTGTAGAGATGAGGTCTCGCTGCCCAAGCGGGTCTCGAACCCGCAGGCTCAGGCAATTCACTCACCTTCAGCCTCCCAAAGGCGCGGGATTACAGGCTGAGCCACCGAGCCCGGCTTGATTTTTTAATTTATTGTGGAGATGAGGTCTTGCCATGTTTCCTAGGTTAATCTCGAATCTGTGCACTCAGGCAATCCTCTTGCCTCTGCCTCCCAAAGTGCTGGAATTACAGACATGAGCAACTGTGCCCAGCTGGAAAGATTTTCTAAATAAACTTTTTATTTTGGAAAAATTTTAGATTTGCAGAAAAATTTAAAAGATATTGCAGAGAGTTACATACCTTTCATCTAGTTTCCTGTAGTGTTAATATGTTACATGGTAAATCTGTTAAAACTAAGAAGCAAACATTGGCATATTATTTTTATTTAAACTCCAGGCTTTATTCACTTTTTGGATAGTTTCTATAATTTAATTCAAGGTACCATATTGAATTTATTGTGTGACAGTTTTATATTCCCAATTCATTTCCTTTACCTGATAGATGCCTGTTAGATTTTCTATTTCTTCTCAGGTTGGTTTTGGTAATTCGTGTTTTCCTAGGAATTTGTTCATTTCATCTAACCTGTGATTTATTGACATAAAGTTGTTCAGTTTCCTCTGATCCCTTTTTTTTTTTATGAGTTAGAGTCTCACTCAGTCGCCCAGACTGGAGTGCAGTGGCCGCTCCCGGCCACCACATCCTCACCTGCTGGGCTCCGGCGATCCTTCCGCCTCAGCCTTCCAAGTAGCCGGAATTACAGGCATGCGCTACCACACCCGGCTGATTTTTTGATTTATTGTAGAGATGAGGTCTCGCTGCCCAGGCGGGTCTCGAACCCGCGGGCTCAGGCAATCTACTCACCTCAGCCTCCCAAAGGCGTGGGATTACAGGCTGAGCCACTGAGCCCTGCTTCCTCTGATCCCTTTTAACTTCTGTAGGTTATGTAGTAATGGCTCTTCTTTCATTGATAATACTGGTTATTTGGATCTTCTATGTTTTCCCCTTCTTGAATAGTCTGTATAATGTTTAACAATTTTTGGCTCTTTTTCAAATAACCAGCTTTAGGGTTTATTGATTTTTTTTTTCCCCTCTACTGTTTTCTGTTTTCTATTTAATCGATTTCCAGTCTGATCGTTATTTCTTCCTTCTACTTACCTGAATTTGATTTGCTCTTCTTTTTTTGGCTTCTTCAAGTAAAAGCCTACATTATTGAATTTAGACCTTTCTTCCTTTCTAATCACATAAAGCTATTAATTTTCCTTTAAGCATCTCATAAATTTTTTTTACGTTGTGCTTTCAGTTTCATTCTGGCCTCCATTATTTTTGATGGAAAGTCAGATGAAATTATATTTTTGTAACATACATGAGTCATTTTTGTCTTGCTGCTTTTAAGATTTTATTTTGCCAGATGTGATGGCTCATGTCTTTAATCCCAGCACTTTGGGAAGCCAAGGCAGGAGGATAACTTGAGGCCAGTAGTTTGAGACCAGCCTGGGCAACATAGCAAGACTTCATCTCTATAAAAAAAATTTAAAAGAGGCAAGTGTGATGACACATGCCTGTAGTCCCAGTTACTTAAGAGACTGAGGCTAGAGGATCAATTGAGCCTAAGAGGTTGAGTCTGCTCTTCAGCCTGGGTGACAGAGACTATCTCTTAAAAAATTTTTTTTTTTCCTCTTTTTGCCTTAGTAGTTGACTAGGATGTATCTAGATGTAGTTCTCTCTTTTTCCTACCTGAGGTTCATTTAATTTCTTGGATCTGTAGGTTAAAGTTTTTCACCAAATTTATAAGTGTTTTACCCACTATTTCTTGTTATGTTTTTTCTGTCCCTTTCTCTTTCTCTGCTTTCTGAGATTCCCATTAGATATATGTTGGAATGCTTGGTGTTGTCTCAAAGAGCTCTGAAGCTTTGTTCATTTTTCTTCAATCTTTTCTATGTGCTTTGCATTGGATAATTTCTTTAGGTAGAAACCTATATTCTAGCCCATTGACTCTTCTGTTCTAATTCCATTTGGTTTTTTATTTTTATTTTTTTGAGTTGGAGTCTTACTCCATCACCCAGACTAGAGTGCAGTGGCTGCTCCTGGCCACCACAGCCTCGACCCACTGGGCTCTGGCGATCCTTCCGCCTCAGCCTTCCGAGTAGCCAGAATTACAGTCATGCAATACCACACCTGGCTGATTTTTGGATTTATTGTAGAGATGAGGTCTCGCTGCCCAGGCGGGTCTGGAACCAGCGGGCTCAGGCAGTCCACTCACCTCAGCCTCCCAAAGGCGCGGGATTACAGGCTGAGCCACCGAGCCTGGCTCTTCTCTCTTTTTTGTTAAATAATTGTCTTGTACTTAAACTGCCAGCCATCTTCTCTGCAGGGTGTAGGTACTGATGTCGCTGTACAGTTTTTTATGTTAAGTTTTTATTTTTTAGCTTGCTTCCTAAGTGTTGACTTTTTTTTTTTTTTTTAAGTAGTTTCATCAGTGAGTTTTATAGAGGTGTGGGGAATGCATTCAGAGTTGCATTTAGTTTTCAGTCTTCCTTGGCTTTGCCTTTTTCTTTTTCACAAGGCTTTCTTGGGTCTTTGTATACACATAGGTAAGCAGTCAGCCATGAATGTGTGAAGACCATATTTCAGCCCTTTTATAGCTCTCTGATTTTCAGGATCTCCTGATTAATTTTTCTTTTCAGACAAGAAAACTTTTAATTTTATTTATTTATTCTTTTAATTGAAGTATCACTCTGTTGTTCAGGCTGGAATGCAGTGGTACCCTCAGGGCCACTGCAGCCTCGACCTGCTGGGCTTTGGTGATCCTTCCGCTTCTGTCTTCCAAGTAGCTGGGACTGCAGGCACGCACCATCACATCCGGCTAGTTTTTTGGTTTATTGTAGAGATGAGGTCTCGCCAAGTTGCCCAGGCGGCTCTCGAACCCGCGGGCTCAGGCAATTCACTCACCTCAGCCTCCCAAGGCGCGGGATTACAGGCTGAGCCACTGAGCCTGGCTAGGACTAAATTTTTAAAGCGAGTACATAGAATACTGAATCAATGATACACACAGCTTCCTATATTAAATTGATATTTATTTTCCTTGAGAATGATGGAAATTATTGAAAAGCATGGCTATGAGAGGGTAAAATGTCCATTCTTATATATTTGTGCCTGCCAACTAATAAGAGTCCTAAAAAATTAGCATTTACAGAATACTTGATGAAAATAGCTTTCAAAAGTTGTCCTGCAGCCATAAAAAAGAATGAAATCATGTCCTTTGCAGCAACATGGATGGAACTGGAGATCATCATCCTAAGTAAGCTGACTCAGAAATAGAAAACCAAAAACCGCATGTTAACTCATGTGGGAGCTGAATGGTCAGAAAGATAGAAACAGTAGACACTGGGGATACCAATAAGGGGGGAGGAGGAGGAGGATTAGAGCTTAGAAACTACCTGCGAGGTATAATGTCCACTATCTGGGGAATGGGCCACCTGAGACTCAGTTCCTACCAATCTGACACAGTATGTCCATGTAGTGAACATGCATATGAAACCCCTGAATCTAAAAAAAAAGAATCCCAAGAGATACATGAAATCAACCCCAATTTTTCATGACAATTTATCCTCCCTTGTTATCTAGAGATTCTGTTTTCTGTGCCTTCCTTTCCAGCTTCCTGCAGTTCCTCCTTTCTTTTAACATCTCTATTAATCTTTGCTCCAGATTCTTTCTTAGCAGAGGTTTTTTTTGGATTAGGCTCAGGTTTTGGTGGTGCAGGTTTTGCTAACAATCTGGCAAACCGTCTTTGGGGCTCTTGTTTAGTTACTTTGGATCCATCTTGCCCTCTGTATTCTTTGGAGACTTTCTCTTCAGCATGACTATGTTGGTGCAGCAAAAAGTAAAGCACGGGCTGGAGCTGCGGGCCCCCCCACCACTGCAGGTGTTCATGTGCAGGCCTCCTTACTAAATTTTGGCTGGTTTGCTGCTCATTCTAAACCAGAACTGTAGTCTTGAGCCAGTAGAGCTACTCATCCAGCCCTTCGCTGGTAAGCTACAGTTTTGGCCCATCTTGCATACTTCCACCTTTTTTTCTAAAAGCTTTAGCAGTTTTTCAGAAACAGACACTTCTCAAGTTCTTATTTACCTTTGGTCAATTGCCAGTGCCCTACAATGTCAGTTTTGTACAATTTATACTTGTTTTCTACAGACCTTTTCACCTTACTATAAATAATTTTATCTATTTTTGAACTCTGGAAAAGGAGTCATCTACTGGAACCATATATACTATATACATTTTTTTGTTGACTTCTTCAACATTGTGTTGATGTGTAATGCTTAGTTCATTTGCTTATTCCAGCATGGTATTCCATTGTATGAATGGAATAATTTATATATAATGCCATAATTTATTTTCCTGACTATGGACATTGATTTTTCTTTTTTTTTTTTTTTTTTTTGGAGATTACAAATAGTGCTGCTGAGAAATATTCTTGTACATGTCTCCTTATGCACTCGTGCAAGAGTCTTTTTTAGGATATATACTGTAAGAGTAGGGTCACTAGTTCTTGGGATATAGAAATTTCAACCTTACTCAATAATTAGTGGCCAAAAAGCTTTCCAAAGTGTACCAATCTACATTTATATCACCAGAAGATGAGAGTGGCTATTGCTCCACATCCTTGACAACACTTGAAATTCTGATTTAAATTTTTTTTTTTTTTTTTTAATTGGAGTCTCACTCTGTTGCCCAGACTGGAGTGCAGTGGCCGCTCCCGGCCACCACAACCTTGACCTGCTGGGCTCTGGCGATCCTTCCACCTCAGCCTTCCAAGTAGCCGGAATTACAGGCATGCGCTACCATGCCCGGCTGATTTTTTGATTTATTGTAGAGATGAGGTCTCGCTGCCCAGGCGCGTCTCGAACCCGCGGGCTCAGGCAGTCCACTCACCTCAGCCTCCCAAAGGCGCGGGATTACAGGCTGAGCCACTGAGCCCGGCTCTGATTTTAAATTTGATTTCCCTTGCTGGGCGTGGTGAGCCTGGGCGACGGAGTGAGACGCCAACTCAAAAAAAAAAAAAAAAAGTGTGGGTCTTGCTCTGTCACCCAAGCTGGAGTGCAGTGGTGCAGTCATAGCTCACTACAGCCTCAAACTCCTGGATTCAGGTGAGCCTCAGTCTCCTGAGTAGCTAGGATATAGGCACGTGCCACCATGCCCAGACTTTTACTATATATCTTTCCAGGCTGTTTCGTATACCTTTTTATATGTATGTATATCTCTATCCAGATTGTTTTCAATTGTTATCGGTAATGCTCCCAAAATAATGCTTTTAAGTAACTTAGTTCTTGATTTCTCAGAAATATCCAAGTATAAGTCTTTTACACTCATTGGAGTTCTTCTTATCATAGGTGATGCTGGGAACAGAACTCCCAAAGACCAGAAGGTAAGTTGGGGTTGATTAGGAAGGGTGAGAGATAAAAATATGACAGTGCAGCCGGGCTTAGTGGCTCAGCCTGTAATCTCGTGCCTTTGGGAGGCTGAGGTGAGTGGATTGCCTGAGCCCGTGGGTTCTAGACCTACCTGGGCAACTTGGCGAGACCTCATCTCTACAATATATCAAAAAATCAGCCGGGCGTGGTAACGTGCACCTGTAATTCCGGCTACTTGGAGGGCTGAGGTGGAAGGATCGCTGGAGCCCAGCAGGTCAAGGCTGCGGTGGCCGGAAGCGGCCAGTGCACTCCAGTCTGGGCGACGGAGTGAAACTCCAACTCAAAAAAAAAAATGGTGACCTGACATCCAGTCAGTTTAGCCATCAGCATCTAATTATTTATCCTTTAATCAGCCCTGTGGCTTGCAGTCCTCTAACAGACATGATAAGAAATCAAAAAGAAATTGCCAAGAAATGTGTGCACTGAGTGCTATATGAAAGTAGAACTACTGGGTGCAATGGCTCATGCCTGTGATCCCAACACTTTGGGAGGTGGAGATGAGAGGATTGCCTGACCTTAGAGGTTTGAGACCAGCCTGAAACAACATGGCGAGACCTCATCTCTACAATAAATAAAAAAAATAAGCCAGGCGTGGTGGCGCACACCTGTTCCAGCTACTTGGAAGGCTGAGGCAGAAGGATCACCGGAGCCCAGCAGGTCGAGACTGTACTGGCTGTAAGCATGCCACTGTACTCCAGCCTGGGTAACAGAGTGAGACTCCTACTCAAAAAAAAAAAGAAAGTAGAACTTAGCAGTTCATCTAGGTGAAATTAATCAAGAAAAATTTTCTATTGTTGATTTTTGAACCAAGTTTGTAAGGGGCAGCTTTGCCTACTTAACCGTAAACTTCCTAACATACCTTATTTTGTTTTGTTTTTTAAAAGACAAGGTATTTCTTTTTTTTTTTTTTTTTTTTGAGTTGGATTCTCACTCTGTCACCCAGACCGGAGTGCAGTGGCTGCTCCCCGCCACCGTGGCCTCGACCTGCTGGGCTCCGGCGATCCTTCCGCCTCAGCCTTCCAAGTAGCTGGAACTACAGGTGCGCGCTACCACGCCCGGCTAATTTTTTGATTTATTGTAGAGATGAGGTCTCGCCAAGTTGCCCAGGCGGGTCTCAAACCCACGGGCTCAGGCAATCCACTCACCTCAGCCTCCCAAGGCGCGGGATTACAGGCTGAGCCACCGAGCCTGGCTGACAAGCTATTTCTTAATTCAGAAGTTATTTCTAACCTATGCTACTATTTAAAACCTTGTTTTCCTTATCCCCTTCCCTACAGCTCCGTGAAGCTATGGCTGCCTTAAGAAAATCAGCTCAAGATGTCCAGAAGTTCATGGATGCTGTCAACAAGAAGAGTAGTTCCCAGGATCTTCATAAAGGTAGGGTCAAGAAGTACCTGGGTCCAGATAGGAGGTGAATTCTTACAGAGATTGTATGGATAACTGACTTGCTTTAGCATCTCAGAATTCTTTTTTACTTCTGTTGTTTTCTTTTAACACCATTGACTGTACATGGTCAGTATAAGATTATTTAATTTGTTTTCAACTTAAATTTTATGTCTGCTGATTGTGATATGCCATACTCATTGTCCTTAGTAGTTTTCAAGTCCCAATCACACTGATGCTGATTTTTCAGTGTGCGATGGTTTTATTGAAATACGTTTTTATCTCCCTACACTTAAATTTTTTCTGTGCTCATGACTGCTTCTTCTATGTGGAGGTTAGAGAGAAGAGAGTAACTTAAACTCTTTTTTTTTTTTTGAGTTGGAGTCTCACTCTGTCGCGCAGACTGGAGTGCAGTGGCCACTCCCAGCCACCGCAGCCTCGACCTGCTGGGCTCCAGCGATCCTTCCGCCTCAGCCTTCCGAGTAGCCGGAACTATAGGCGTGCGCTACCATGCCCGGCTGATTTTTTGATTTATTGTAGAGATGAGGTCTCGCTGCCTATGC